GGGAGTATTTTTTATTTGCATTATATAAAATTTTATTTTTTTACAAAATAACATATACATTATATATATTTTTATTAAAATCTAATTATTAAAATAATCAAATAATTAATTTATTATACTTTTGCACGGCCGTGCAAATCACCTTACAAACTGTTGGATCCCAAGTCCAAATTATTCGAAGTGTGGAAAACACCCAATTGCCGAAATTTTATCCGAAAGCAATGCCTCCATAAAGCCAGAAATTGTTGTCTCCATTGGGTTCAAAACAATTATCTCCATTGGACTGCGGTGCTTCCGCAAAGTAGAGGAATGTTGCCTCCATAAAACAGAAAGCAACAGCTTCCATAGATCATAGGATAACCACCTCCATTGACCCTGGGTTAATAATTTCACACTAAACATCAGTGGAAGGCCTATGCATTTTCATATTTTATTTAGAAAGCTCCATGGAACAAGCCAACAAAAGGAAAACCGAAGACTCCACGTGACTCAAGTTTGTTGGGAACAGAATCCCGTCGACCGGCTAGAGATGTTATGGTGACAATTCGGGGTAAGCCACAGATCGATTCAAGGGCAGTGGAGGCAGTTCAGAATGAGTGGGGAGCCGGTTCAGATGTAATGGAGGCAGTTCAAAGCTTGCCCAGTGGAAGCAGATGATTGGCGTATGGAGCTAAGGAAATATTTGAAACAACCAGTCGACGACGCCCCTGAAAAGTTGCGGAGCCAGGCTCTGAAGTATACTCTGATTGATGGAGATCTCTTTCGCAGAGCCACTAACGCAATATTACTGAAATGTGTGGATACTCAGGAAGCCTTGAAGGTGATGGGCGAAGTGCATAAAGGGGTTTGTGGAGTGCACAAATCCGGGTTGGTCATGAGGTGAACGATCCGGCGGTGTGATTATTATTGGCCTTGAATGAAGGAAGATTGCATTAAGTATGCCCAAGGATGTGAAGCATGTCAACAGCATGGCCCTTTGATGCGTATTCCAGCAGAAGAAATGCACGCAGTTGTGAAACCATGGCCATTCTGGGGATGGGCGATGGACATCATTGGAAATATCCATCCGCCATCTTCCAAACGACATTCATTCATATTGGAGGACATATATTATTTTTCAAAATGGATTGAAGCAGTACCATTGGCCAACGTAATATATCAGGAAGTAGTTAAGTTTATCAAGAAACATATCATTCATCGATACAAAATCCCTCAAACAATCACGGCCGATCAAGGTACTGTCTTCACCAGTGATAAAGTAGTCGCCTTTTCCGCGCAATGCAAGATCACTCTTTTGCATTCATCCCTGTATTATGCGCAGGCAAACGGGCAGGCTGAGGTGGCCAATAAAGTCTTAATCAGAGTAATTAAAAAAGGCCGTGGAGGATAATCCGATAAAATGGCACAAAGTGTTGGGGGAGGCTTTATGGGCCTGCAGACAGTACCAAATTAAAGCCATTGGTTGCACTCCATTCCAGATGATCTAGGGAAAATAAGCGGTACTACCATTGGAAATCACAGTGCCATCGTTGCGGGTTTTTAAGTAGAATTCGCTGAACCCTGAGCAATATGATGCTGCCATGCTGCAAAGGTTAGATGACGTGCATGGAGATCTGATGATGGCCTCGGAGAATATTCGGTTGAACAAAGTGAAAGTGGCACGAGCTTAGAGCAAAAAAGTGTGCCGGTAAGTATTCCAAGAAAGGGACTTGTATGGAAGACAGTACTACCCGAGGGCTTTAAAGATAATACATTATGGAAATGGTCTTCTACGTGGGAAGGTCCATATCAAGTGAGTAAAATGTTGCCCAATGATGCTTATAGATTGATGAATATTGATGGGAAGGAACATAGAAATGTTATCAACGCTAAGTATTTTAAGGGGTACATGTCGCCACTTGAGTTTTAGTAAAGTAGATAAATGAAGACAGGTCTTTTCCGGACCGCTACATTCAAAAAAAACAAATGAAAGCAGGTCTTTTCCAGACCACTAAGTTCAAAACGAAAATGGAAGCAGGTCTTTCTAAGCCGCTAAGTCCAAAATAAAATAACAGCTAGCTATTCCAAGTCGCCCAAGTACTGTCCGAGACACTAAAAGCTGAAGCCAAAATGGAAATACGAACAATTCTCAAGCGTGAGGAGCAGCCAGAGGAGTGTCGTCCGCAGCTAAGTCCACAGCCGGCTCAAAGTCACCGGCAGTCCCCGTTGTTACATCTGTGGGTGCCAGGTTAGAATCGGGAGTCGTATCTTCAGGTTGGGGAATTATCCCAGCTTTTGGGACTATATCCATTGGGGCTAGATCACTAAAGCCTGCGACCATGCCTCCAACGCTCAGAGATGTGTCTGCTGGAGGCAAGTCGGAAATTCTTTAAGCAGCTTCCCCTTCCAGATCCGACAAGAAGTGTCATGGACCGAAATTGATCAACTACACAAGACACGGAATAAACTAACTAAAAAGGAACTATCTAATAAACAACAAGAAAGAACGAACAACTAAACGGAACTAACTAAGCAAGAAAAGAACACATTAACTAAGTGGAAATGAATAAAGCGAGAAAAAAGATAATCGAAAGAGAAACAAACCTAAGTAAGTACTAACGTAAGCATGACCCGATACCCTTCTAGCATTGAACCATCCTCCACAAAGGCACCACTTCGGTCGACACCTTGGAGAGCTTTTCCACCTTCCCCAAATGCCACGAACTTGAGGCTTTATACTCAAACCCGAATATTTAAACTAAACCCCATGGAGCATGCAATGGAATTGCATTCCATGAAATATTAGACTAAAAGAGAAAGTATTGCTATAGCATAACTTTCCATAAAAAGGAAATGATCAATAATGATCAAATATTCATAAAATATTCTTGCTTGGTGTGTCTTACAATACACCTTAAGGGTCCTATTTATAGGAGTGGGGGAAGGGGCAAGTGGAGTGATTTTCCAATGTGGGATGGGTTGTGTATAAGTAAGTAACCTCCCAATAAGTGACACCTAGCTAATGGTCCCCCCTTGCATGTGAGAGGCATGTGAGAGTTTATTATATATATATAAGTGGTCCCAATGGATGGTCGCCCCCCCTGGCTTGAGCATGTGTAACCTAGGTTTATATAATTACATATTAAACCCTCTATTTTAGCAAACTCCTAGGTTTGCAAAACTTGTCCGTTAGTTTTCCGATTGAGGCATTGCAAGGTCCAATGTAACCTCATTGCACGCTTTCGCTCGAGCTCTCGAGACTGGTCTGATTGGAATATATGGAATTGCAAGTCCCGATCTTTTCGTATCCATGTCATCCTCTCCCCCTTCAGAAGGTTGAGCCATCAACCGTTGTGCTTTCTCATCGGCTCGATCATAGAGTGATAAATCTGCAATATTAAACGTAGGATTAATACCATATTCATCCGGAAGTTCCAAACGGTATGCATTATCATTAATCCTTTCAAGCACTCGAAATGGCCCATCTCCTCGGGGTGATAGCTTTGTACATCGCCTTGCCGGAAACGGAAACCTTTCCTTCCTCATGTGAACCCAAACCCAATCGCCGGGATGCAATATTACAGCTTTACGTCCGCGGTTAGCGTACTTAGCATATACCTCCGCAGATTTTTCTAGACTTGCTTTGACATCCTTATGAAGTTCCTTTATGCGTCTTGCTCGTTCCCTACCATTAACATTTAAGAACTCATTGTTAGGCAATGGTAAAAGATCAGTGGCGTTAGTGGGTTCATTCCATAAACTACTTCAAACGGTGACATGTGTGTGGCTGTGTGGATATGTCTATTGTATGAAAATTCAATGTAAGGAAGACATTCATCCCAACTTTTACTATGTGAATTCACAATAACTCTAAGGAGATTACCAAACACCCGGTTTACCGCCTCCGTTTGTCCATCAGTTTGGGGCTGATAGGATGTGGAGAAAAGAAACTTAGTACCAATTTCGTGCCACAATGATTTCCAAAAGTAACTCACAAACTTTGCATCACGATCTGAGACAATAGACCTTGGCACTCCATGAAGGCGTACTATCTCCTTCAAAAATAGTTTGGCGATGTGATGGGCATCATTTGTCTTTGCACAAGGAATGAAATGCGCCATCTTGGAAAACCTGTAAACCACAATGAAAATAGAATCTTTAGCACGTGCAGTTCTAGGTAAACCCAACACAAAATCCATACTAATATCAATCCAAGGTCCCTCAGGGGGTGGAAGAGGCATGTAGAGTCCATGTGGCTTAAGTGTTGACTTGGCCTTAAGGCACGTCACGCATCGCGAAATATAATCTGCAACTTGCTTGCGCATTCCAGGCCAATAAAATTTCTCTCAAAGAGCTTCCATTGTAGCATTCTTCCCAAAGTGGCCCATCATGTCACCATCGTGAACTTCTTGTATTAGTAACTCCCGAATGGAGCATTTTGGGATACAAACTCGATTAACATAATATAAAAATCCCTCATGTCTGCAATACTTATCATGCCCATGAAATTCACACAAAGCATACACATCTTTGAAATCCTCATCAGTGGGTATAATTCCTTAACATGCTCAAATCCTAATAAATGCGTGGACGCGTATGAAATTAAAGCATACCTGCGTGAGAGTGCATCCGCGACAATATTATCCTTACCCTTTTTGTACTTGATGGTGTATGAAAATGACTCAATAAAAGATACCCATCGTGCGTGCCTTCGATTCAGCTGTTGTTGCCCCTTCAAGTGCTTCAAGGTCTCATGATCGGTGTGTATCACAAACTCTCGTGGCATCAAATAATGTTGCCATGTCTTTACAGCCCGTACCACCACATACAACTCCTTGTCATATGTAGAGTAATTTAAGGCAGCCCCTCCAAATTTCTCACTACGATAGGCTATGGGTCGACCTTCTTGAAGCAAAACTGCACCCATGCCTTTGCCCGAAGCGTCACACTCAAGCTCAAAGGTCTTCTCAAAATTTGGTAGCGTAAGTACTGGTGCTTGAGTAAGCTTTGCCTTCAATGTCTCAAAATGCTTCTTGGTGTGCTTGTTCCCATTTAAATGGAACTCCCTTCTTGAGCAAGGACGTGAGAGGAGTAGCGATCAAGCTAAAACCAGGCACGAACCTCCGAAAAAATCCACACATTCCCAGAAACCTCCTAATTTCTCCAACATTCATTGGATGTGTCCATTCTTTAATTGCCTTTACTTTTGTTTCATCAACCTTCAAGCCATCCTCGCTAACTACAAATCCAAGGAAAACAACTTCATTGGTGTGGAATATGCACTTTTTAAAATTAGCATAGAGTTGTTCTTCCCTAAACCGTTGAAAGACAAGTTGCACATGCTCCACATGTTCCTTTTCACTTTTACTGTAGACAAGAATATCATCAAAGTATACTATAACAAATTTACCAATGAAAGCACGTAGAACATGATTCATTAAACGCGTGAGGGTACTAGGAGCATTAGTTAGACCGAATGGCATTACCAACCATTCGTACAAACCTAGCTTTGTTTTAAATGCCGTCTTCCACTCATCGACGGGTTGCATACGAATCTGGTGGTATCCACTCGGAAGGTCAATCTTGGAGAATATTCTCGCTCCATTGATCTCATCAAGCAAGTCATCAAGGCGCGGGATTGGGTGTCGATACTTAATTACAATCGCATTCACTGCTCTAAAATCCACACACATCCTCCAAGTTCTATCCTTCTTGGGGACAATGATAATAGAAACAGCACATGGTGATAAGCTCTCCTGAACCCATCCCTTCTCAAGAAGTTCTTGGACTTGTTTTTGAATCTCCTTATTCTCATCTAGGTTGCACCGATATGCAGGACGATTTGGGATCGAATCACCGGGTACGAAGTCAATTTGATGCTCTATCCCACGAATGGGCGGTAGTCCTTGTGGTAGTTCCTCCGGGTATACATCCTTCATCTCTTCAAGCATCCTAGCAAAGGAAATGGGAAAATTATTGAGTAGATTATCTTTATCAGAATGAAATAAATCTTTGCATAACAACATAAAACAACCTCCCTTTTGATGATCTAGGTCACCAACTTCTCTCTGAAAATCGGTAAGTGAAAAAATGATGTTGGAACCCTTAGCAGTAGACTCTCTCTTTTCCTCTGTGGATACTTCTTTTCCTTTAGCTCTTTTAAGGCTTTCAGCCTCTTGCATCTTCTTTCGCAAACTTTCTTGATCTTTTCGAACCTCCTTCAATGGAAAAAAATGAATCATTACCTTGTAGCCCTTGTCAAAATCTAACTTTGTTAGTCTTGCCATCATAGATAATTCCTTTATCGGATTGCCATGGTCGGCCAAGAAGCACATGGCATGTGGTCATTGGAGTAACATCACAAAGGACATCCTCTTTGTAGGGGCCGATTGAAATTGGAACTTTGGCTTGCCTAGTGATCTTCATATCTCCACTAGAGTTCATCCATTGAAGATGGTATGGAGTTTGATGCTTGATAGTTTGGAGTCCAAGCTTGTCTACCACATACAAACTAACGACATTGGTGCAAATTCCGTTATCAATGATTATCGACGCTTGCTTTCCACCAATCTTGCACCGACAATGGAACAAATTCTCCCGTTGCTCCTTAACCCGATCAACAAATTTTTCCGACTCCTTGGGAACTGCTCCAAGCATTCGCAAAACCACTAGAGACTCCCCGGATGAATCCTCTTCAACGTGCTCTTCCGTCTCTTGGATTGCTTCATCCTCACTCGCCTCAACCTCATGTTCCCGATCTTCACCCTCATCATCCGACAAAAGTACATAGTCCCCATTGTCACAAAGCACAACAGTTCGCACATTAGGGCATGTATTGGCATAATGACCTTTCCTTTGACACTTAAAGCATGTGACATCCTTTGCTTTGTTTGGTGAACCATCCTTGCTGACTTTCCTTGGTTCATCACGCTTAACCACCTTAAGCGGCTCATTTTTGGTCGTGTGCTTATCATCTCCTTTAGGCCAAGATTTTGTTGGTCCCGTATTACCACTTAACTTGTTGAAATTTGGTGACGTCTTTCCAAACTCACACTTACTCCTACCTTTCCATGCGATTCAATCTTGGTAGCAAGTTGGACAAGTTCCAAAGTAGAATTGTAAGGATACATATCCACTTGAATCATAATATCACGCCTCAGCCCTTTGAGAAACCGATACATGGTGACTCCATCATCTTCCACAAGCTGAGCCCGCATCATAAGCTCAAGAAACTCATTAGGTTCAGCCGATCCTACGAAGGTGGTATGGAGAACTTAATGGACTGCATGTTATCATCAACCTCATTAACTCAAACTCGGCTCCTTCTGTTATGGATATCTTCTTCCAAGTCAAATTCATCAAGTAACTCTTTGGTAGCATCCCGTCTTCCTCGTTGGCCTTGGATAGATGTAGGCCTTGGACTAGTATGACGCCTTTCGCCAAAATCATCAACTTGGATAGATCGATTTGGGAAAACACTTGTTGAGCCCATAGGTTGCTTGCCAAGGTGGATTTCTTCACGTCTAGCATCACTATGACTTCCCCTTTCTTCAAGAGTAGCAACCTTATCGAAAACCTCATCGAGTTTCTTTTCCATATTTTGATCAACCTTCCTTAACAAGGCCTCCGCATAAGCCTTCATCCGAGCATCCACAACATCATCTATGTCATCTCGAACATGATCTACTTGACTCCGTAGGTCATGTATCTCTCTACCTTGCTGATCCACACGAGATGTCATGCTATCCATCTTTCCGCCTAACTCGTCTTTAATATCTCGCATATCCTTGCTTTGCTTATTTATCGCAGCCAAGATATCATCCAACGAAGCCATACCTGCACCAAAACAAACTAATATCTGTATATTGAAAGTTAATCCTCACAATCCCCCCTCTCGCACACTCGTGTATACCTCTCGACAAATGGGTAGAGTTTCCAAGCTCTTAAAATGTGCCTTAATGGAGTCATAAAGGTGGAACCTGAGTGACGTACACGTTTAAAGTGGACAAGAAACTTTAAACACGACTCAATCAAAGATAGCTCAAGATAGTATCAATCATGTAATGCAAATAACCAAGCTCATTCATTCACGAACGAATGACCAAACGTACACAACACACAAATTCCGGAACTAAGCAAGTCAACAACGAACACAAGCTGAATAGATCTCAACAACCACCAAATCACCACAATACTTAACCCCTTTTAAAACGTGTCAAATGAGTATGACAAGCACAAAAATCGATCCAAACTCAAAAACCCAAAACTGAATAATCAACGTCAATTGCAAATTCACAAAAACTGATTAATATAACTTTCTCCCCACTTCACAAGCTTTCCAATGACATATTATACGCGAAAAACGGAGCTCGTATGAGAAAACTACAACTCAAACAAGATTATCAACAAAAAATTGCTCTAGTCCTCCCGCTCGATTTTGTTTTTTTTTTTTTTTTTGTACTTTGTTTTCTTTTTTTTTCAAATATTTAGGTTTTCTTTTTCTTTTCTTTGCAAGAATTTTTTTTTTTTACTTTTTCACGGAAATATTACGAGGCCTAGGCAACACAAAACATCAACAATAACTCTTTACACTTCCCCAACAACATCCACCTCAATTAATTCAACCTCACTTCAAACAACAACAAACTCAACAAACCGCAAACTTGCAAAACTCAAACAAGAGCAAAATCGCAAAACTCAAACAAGAACAAACTTGCAACACTCAAACAAGAACAAACTCACAAAACTCAAGCAAGAGCATGAAGTGTACATTAAAATCACCCGTCAACAAAGTCCCAAACTTGAGTTCATATAATGCATATAGATGTAAGGTGCATGTTGTACACTAGGAAGCATAGAGGATCAAATCGTCTACACTAGAAGGCCAAGCAATGACAAACCTCTAGATCAAATTTACGTCAATGATATGCAATAAAAAAGTTCAACTAAGCAACAAGAAGAAAGAATGAAAAGGAAAGATAACAAAGGAATTTTATTTTTTTTGGAAATTTCGGAATAAAGATAGTGTAAATTGATCAAACTGCTCTGATACCAAAATTAAATATATGTCATGGACCGAAATTGATCAACTACACAAGACACGGAATAAACTAACTAAAACGGAACTATCTAATAAACAACGAGAAAGAACAAACAACTAAACGAAACTAACTAAGCAAGAAAAGAACACATTAACTAAGCGGAAATGAATAAAGCGAGAAAAAGGATAATCGAAAGAGAAGCAAACCTAAGTAAGTACTAACATAAGCATGACCAGATACCCTTCTAGCATCAAACCATCCTCCACAAAGGAACACTTCGGTCGACACCTTGGAGAGCTCTTCCACCTTCCCCAAATCCCACGAACTTGAGGCTTCATACTCAAACCCGAATTTTTAAACTAAACCCCATGGAGCATGCAATGGAATTGTATTCCATGAAATATTAGACTAAAAGAGAAAGTATTGCTATCAAGCATAACTTTCCATAAAAAGGAAATGATCAATAATGATCAAATATTCATAAAATATTCTTGTTTGGTGTGTCTTACAATGCACCTTAAGGGTCCTATTTATAGGAATGGGGTAAGGGGCAAGTGGAGTGCTTTTCCAATGTGGGATGGGTTGTGTATAAGTAAGTAACCTCCCAATCAGTGACACCTAGCTAATGGTCCCCCCTTGCATGTGAGAGGCATGTGAGAGTTTATTATATATATATAAGTGGTCCCAATGGATGGTCCCCCCCCCCCACTTGAGTATGTGTAACCTAGGTTTATATAATTATATATTAAACCCTCTATTTTAGCAAACTCCTAGATTTGAAAAACGTTTCCGTTAGTTGTCCGATTGAGGCGTTGCAAGCTCCAATGTAACCTTTACAACCATGGCACTCGCCCTAGGCATTCCATCAAGTTCTCGCATGTTGTAACATAGTCCGTTGGTTGGGCTCCAATTCTCTAATTTCCTTATCTTTCCTTGCAAATTTTCAATGCACGCTTTCGCTCGAGCTCTCGAGACTGGTCCGATTGGAATATGTGGAATTTCAAGTCCCGATCTTTTCGTATCCATGTCAGTAAGTCCCTCACAATGCGGGTAATGGATGCTTTAATTTCAACGGTGGCTCTAACAGGTGGTACTTGGACAGGTGGAATAGAAGGTTCCCCGATAGAAGAAGTTGTTGTTGGATTAACTTGAGAGGCAGGGTCGATTGCGCTGCCACTATCCACAGGAATATTATGTTCTGGAATGCCTCGCAAGTCCGCACTTGAAGACAGATCCTGCGATGAGGAAGAAACTACATGTGCAAACGGTTTGCAAGCCGACCACATAGAAGCCAAGGCCTTCCATTCCAGCTCTAGCTCTTTCAATGTGGCCTCCCCATTAGCATCATTAAATCCGTACAACACTTTCTTCTGCACCAAAGCGGCTATCGGTGCATCAAGATGTTGAGATCGTCGATATAAGTCCGTTTGCAACTGTCTCTTTTTGGCAAAGAGTCTTTCCAGTTCTATGATCTCTGGCACCAACTGAGCAAGCCGCGCCTGCAAATGAGCTACCTCAGCCTTTTTCACGAGCACCTCAGTATAGGAGGCTTCTAACTGGTTGGAAGCACTCGAAGCTTCATCCTCCATACATGAATACTCATCTTGAAAAGACTGTTTTGGCTTTGCAATGAGGCCAACCGATCCAAGTGTTTTCTCCCAAAATCCCGAGTTTGCTCTGCCATCTTACACCGCTGCGTGAAAACATTTACTAATGCGAACTTGTCTAGGATGAATATTCGGATCGACTTCCATAGCAATAAGTAATAATAATATTGGAAAGATTTGGATAGAACAAGAAATGAATGGATAGATATATATATACATCTATATTCATGGAGATAACTTGGACTATCTTGAATTGAGAGGTAGTCGGGAAGGCAACATGAGAGATCAAGCTCACGTCTCACAATCCTCCAAACAAACCGACAATACAAGCGAAGGCAAGAATAGTTCTAGTACTATTCAAGAGGCCACGACTTGTTTCAAATAACTCGAAACAACTCAATTTGAGGATATGAAAATGTAACTGAATCACACAAGATTACACTTCAAACAATGCACAAGAATCGCTCTTGAAATAAAAATCAGTTTATAAAATATCTTTGTTGAATGAATAATCTTTACAATAATAATCATAGGACCTTTTATAGAGAACCCATGGAAATTAAAACAAGAAACTGCACTCCTAAAGGAAATAAAATTATATAGATTATAATCAGCCTTATTTAATATTATTGACCCATAATTGATGACAATCCCATAATTATTGGTAATCCCTTAATCTATGAAATTCCTTCAATTGGGGGATATTAATTGATGAGATCCCTTCAATTAGGGACAGTAATTTAGGGGAGGTCTGATGCCTTGTAAGGTGCTCTTGGCCTTATGGTCCTTGGGACTTGTGGTTCAATTCCAGAATAATGCATGGTTTATTTTCATTATCGGTGTATAGTTCAGCAGTGGCATCCATTTGAAGTTTGGCACACTTTGTAATTTCCAATTGAAAATTATGGGCTCGGCTCCTAGTGATTGGTCCAGGAGAAATTATGATTGGATCTGATTCTATCATGATGGTCACATCATCCCCCCTCTCTTAGGTTGTTCCATCAACCTCTAGTCACTTACATCAAACAGAGACAAGTCAGCAACATTAAATGTAGCATGAACATTATACTCACCTGGGAGGTCTAGTTTGTAGGCATTATCGTTAATGCGTTCAACGACTTAAAAAAGACCATCGACTCATGGGGACAACTTAGACTTGCGTTGTGGCGGAAATCTCTCTTTTCGTAAGTGAAGCCACTCCCAATCACCGGATTGGAAGACAATCTTCTTACGGTGACGGTTAGCAGCTTTGGCATTCCGCGCATTGGTGGCATCAATTTCCTTTTGTATTGTTTTATGAAGCTCCTGAATCGTTTGTGCCCGATCCCTAAAATTAACATGTTGTTGCTCACTACATTGTAGTGGCAATAGGTCAATATGAGAAAGCAGATTGAAGTTGTACACTACTTCAAAAGGCGACATGCTAGTAGCACTATGAATAGCACGATTATATGCAAACTCAACATGATGGAGACAACTTTCCCAACTAGGCAAATTATTTTTTATAATACACCTAAGAAGGGTGCCTTTGGTGCGATTTGTTACTTCAGTTTGACCATCTGTTTGTGGGTGATATGAGGTAGAAAAGAGAAGGTTCGTCCCTAATTTTCCCCAAAATTTTTTCCAAAAAAAAAAACTTAAAAATTTAGTGTCCCCATCAGATACAATCGTACGGGGAATTCCATGCAGTCTAACTACTTCTTTGAAAAATAAATTAGCAGTATGCATTGCGTCATTCGTCTTATTGCAAGGAATAAAGTGGGATATTTTTTAAAACCTATCAACAAAAACCATGATAGAGTCCGTACCTCCCTTTGTACGAGGTAGCCCCAAAATGAAGTCCATACTCAAATCTACCCAAAGTGTGTCGGGTGTAGGCACGGGCGTATATAAACCATGCGGTAGCAGTGTGGATTTGGCTTGTCTACATGTAATGCAACGTGTAATGTGTTGTTCTATATCTGCGTGCATGCCTGGCCAATATAATTTTTCCTGCAAAAGTTTAAGAGTTTTGGTGGCTCCAAAATGCCCCATGAGTCTACCTCAATGGACTTTGTGAGTTAAAACAGTTCGAATAGAACCTTGTGGAATACACAACTGGTCAGCCTTATACAAATACCCCTCATGCAAATAGAAATCTTTAAACCCAGTGTTGACACACTTATTGAAGATGTCAGAAAAATCTT